CGTTTCCGCCCCAAACCGGCCAGCGGCTCCGCGCCAGGCTGCCCCCAGGTCTCACCTTGCCAGTTCTGGAGCTGCAGGTCCTGGTGGTGTTCCTGGGGTTGCCCGGTACCCTCTGGCAGGGCTGAGCACTGCAGCAGCTGCTGGGCGCACTGCAGGCGCTGCTGCTCGCAAGCAAGGTGCAGCGGGGTGTTGCCGTTGCGGTCCTGCAGCCCGGGATTCACTCCCTTGTGGATCAGCGCCTGGATCACGCTGGGCTGCTCCAGGTACACGGCGAGGTGGAGCGGGGTCTAGAGAGTAGGTGGGGACAGGAATTAGGAAAGCTGGGGGCGGGGGTGGGGGATGCCCCGCAGGACACCAAGCGTGATAAGCTATGCCACCCCACGGGAGCCAGCCCGGCAGCACGGGCCGGCTGCTGCGCAAGAGCCTGTCCCTGTCTCAGGGTTAAGCACGGCTGACACCGGGGGGATGCAAACAGCTTGCTGCCCATCCCCACCTCAGCTCAAGGATCGCCTGTGGGGGCAGATGTCACTCTCCCAGGTTATCTACCCTGCCACATTTAAGCTGTGCCTGCTCCACCCTCTGGGGCTGCCTGCGACATCCTGGGGCCTCGTAAAGGACCCCTTCACCCTGTGGTGCTGGGAGCTGTCACAGCTCTCTCCCAGAGTACCTCCCACACCCTTCTTCCCCTCTCTGAAAAGGGGCTCCTCACATGGGACCTTCACCACACTCTGGAGGAAGCTGTGGGGGGGTCCTGGGGAGAGGGCAGATGGATTGGGCATCTACCCAGGGAGCAGCCTGCGGCACCTGCCTTCCTCCCATCTTCTCCCTATCACATTTGCATACCTGGAAAAGATCATTTTGGATCTCCAGCACCTCCCTGGGCAGCTGAGCGATGCAGCAGAGTGCCACAGCTGGGACGCAGTGGATAATGGCCAAGTGAACCAATCTACAGAGGGGATAAAGGGAACAGGGGAGGGAAATAAAACAAAAAATGAGTCCTGAGTGCCATGCTGAGGAGCAGAGATCCTCCACCGCATGGAGGAATAACCTCCCCACCTTTCCCATCCCCCTTCCTTCCCACCAGCTCAGAGCTCCTCCATCCTGCCCTCTCCCCAAAGCAGCTCAGCAGCAGCGCAAGGCAGGAACATGGCTCCCCAGGGCAGTCTTTCACCCTGATCACCACAGGGAATGGACTCTTCTGTCCCCGCTAAGCACTGCAGGGTCCTCCCTCAGACCTCACAGCACGCATGGGGCTTGGACCAGGCAGTGCCCAAAGCCAGGCCTCCATCTGGGGCAGGTCCGAAGAGCCTGGGATGCGTTTTGCAGAGCTCAAGGGTTGGGTTTGGTGGCTGCGGATGGACGTCTGGGCTCTGGCAGCTGCGCGGGGAATCCCAGCTCCCCGCTGCTGGCTGCGCACTGCACTTCTGCTTTCCCCTCCACAAAGGCAGGCAGCCAAAGCCGGGCAGGAGCCCGGCACCGGTCCAAGATCACCTGCGCGGCACAGTCCCCATGCCAGCAGGTCTGCCGGCCCGCACCGATTTCCTCTTCTCTCCCCCACATCCTTCCCTTTTGGCACAGCCATGGCAGGGCTGGCATGCAGCCCAGCACAGAGGGACACCAGAGGTGTGGCCATCGGAGCTTGGTGGCCAGCAGGGAGCCCACATCCTCAGGACTGTGGCCCCCACGGCCACGGGGTGGCTGGGCAGCCTGGAGTCCCCCAGCCCAAAGGAGAGGTTTTATTTCCAGCCGAGTATGATGCTGGCCCCTGGCGCAGTCAGAACAGAAGTGAGAGCGTGACGGAGGCAGAGCTGCGAGGGAATTTCCAGTCCCCTCCGCTGACCTGCTGTGCTCCCCGGCACCCCTGCACAGAGGGACCGGTCCCCCACCACAGGGCAGCCCCCTCGGGCCAGCCCTGGCCACGGCAGGCAGCAGCAAGGAGCAGGCAGCAGCTCCTGCTCTGCAGAGCATGGCAGGCATGAACCGAGCCTCCTGCCACCTCCTCACCACCGTGTTGGGGCCTCTGAGTGGCTTTCATCTTCGGCAGCAACCAGCTCCGAACCAAAGGCCAGACTCTAAGTGAGCTCCTGCCACCCATGCCGCTTGGCAGAGGTGGGCAGGGGCAAGGGATGGAGGGTGAGAGCTGTGTCAGCTCCGGAAAGACAACCTGCTCACTGGACAGTCCAACTTCAGGATGTCACCTGCAATGTAGGGGATGGACAGCATCCCTCCACAGGCGAGAAGGCAGGACCTGGCCCTAAAGCATTGCAGCAAAATAGTGGGGCTGGGGCTGTCTTCTCACCACCTGCAGTGGGGACGTGGGTGTGCTAAGGAGCCCAGAGGCCAGTCCCCAAAATGTCCTTTATCCACCTCCTCCCAAGCGCTGCCCGAGGGTTGAGCCAGCACCTGGCACAC